AATGATATTCATGATTAAACACATCCCATGTAAATTTATTTGGAGAGCAGCATAGGTGAACCATCCATTGTGGTTTAACTAGCACAAACAAAATGAGAGATGTTCATCAAGTGACAAGACAAACTTAATCCGACTGCAAGCACATTGCAGATAACAACTCCGCTCTGTTGTTTGAAATGAGCAGGAGGACGCATTACTTTAATTACTCCAAACCATGACCATACTAGGAACAAGATACATAGGTATGAGGGTGTTACGACAGTGACAAATTTATTCTAGAAAGAAGTGGAAGAAAAAGCCTTGCATTGTCAGCTACCATAACCTCTTTGAGAGAGATTCATCTAATATTGCTTCACATTCAGGTTTCAGAACTCACAAAGCATTCGTACATCTTCTACAGAAATGTTGTGTATTAAGTCAAAATATACATTGATACGGATAAACATGTAGAAAGTGAGTAGCGAAAGCATACAATCTCAAAATTCAAAGATCATCAGTTAACCCTTGTGAGGGATTGGATTACTTTAAGAATTTCCAATGTCATATCAGCTTGATGAGCTTAAAGACTTCCTAAGGTTCCGAAGGATGCTCCACATGAATGTGGATATAATGAAGAGGATAATACCAGTGATAATTGCATATTTGAGACTAAGGTTCACCATCAAATTTACTAGAAGCCCAGCCAATACAACACCAAAGAAATTTGCAGACACTGCTGCCCAGAATGGCATATCAAGAATGGAAGCTATGATGGCTCCTGTCCATGCTCCTGTTCCAGGGAAAGGCACAGCCACAAACAGCATCAGACCAAGCCATTGGAACTCCTCTACAGGGCCAGCTTTCTCTTTGGCTCTCACAAACAGTATGTCAAGGAACCGAGCTGCGGCCTTGTTCTTTCCAGCAAGGAAAGATGCAAATCTCTTCAAGTAAAGTATGATGAAGGGCACAGGAACCATGTTCCTACAGATACGTAGTCCTAAACTTTGTTACTTCCTACAGATATACATAGTCCTAAACTTTGTTAATTCCTACAGATATATATATATAGTCCCAAACTTTGTTAATTTCATGAAAGAAAATTAAACTGCTCTCCTGATCATCGCACAATATACCTTGGACACAACAACGTAATACATAGAAAGGTAAAATACTGAAACTTGAAGCACCCTTTTGATCAAAATTGGGCAAAAGACAAATAGGGCATTAGGAAAATACTGAATGAAGGATGAATTGTTTAAAAGTAAAGTAGCCCATTGCTCTATATCACCATAAGCAGGCATATTCTATCAAACAGATACAAAGGAACAACAAAGGCAAAGTTGTAAAAGAGCATTGGAGAAAAAAAAATCCAAAAAAAATCAAGTGGAATATCAAAATACGGATACAGAGGGAAAAGACTAACCCCAGAACGGATAGAACGGTTAGCATAACAGGCTTGAGTTGCAGCCAGTAACCAACAGGAATAGCCCCACGAAGCTCAATCACAGGAAGCGTAGCCAGGGCAAATACCACAGCCTCATCAGGCCAGCCTGAGCCTCGAAGCGCACTCGCAATCTTCAGGCCAAAACTGGAGGCTCTAATGGAATCAGCTGCAGCAGCTGCTGCCGCATTAGCATCCCCAGAAGCTGCGAACAAAGCAAGGGACACAGAGGCCCAAACCAAAACCCAAAAAACAAATTTGACTGGCCGTTCCTCAAAGACTGGCAAAATATCATCTTTCTCATCTTTATCAAGAAACCCATGTGAAGAAACTCTTGTTGCAACGTGAGAAAGGGGTGAATTTGCCAAAAGAGGGTTTAAAGGGGACAAAGTTTGGAAATTTAAGTCTGCATTTGAATTGAATCGGGGTTGAATGCTATGGGCAATGGAGGGGCGGCCATGTTTTGGTGAAAATCTGAAGCGGGTCTTTCCAAGAGACAAATTTGATGTTAATGGTGATGTTGATGCTGATAAAAATAGAGCCATTGCAAATGGGAAGTTGGAGAGTTGATGGGTTGTCAGCTCAGGTTCTGTGCCTCCGAGTTAGGTGTCTGATAGAAATTCTGTGAGCCGAGGTGTTGGGGGCTTTCTGTTGTGGATTTGTGAATGGTTGTTTGACTGAAAATTTACTGTTTCCAAACAAGGTTTTCGAAGCACCCATCAAAATGTTGCAAAGTGGATGGAGGCTATAAGCTGCTTTTGTTTAAAGTTGGGGTTTTAATAGTAAGATTTCGGGTATGGCTAAGGTTGAGATGAGCATTGAGGCTTAAACGGCATAAGACAACAAGTATGGAGGAATTACCAAGGTCTTGTTGGAGAAGTGCTTAAGATTTGAGATCTTTTGGAGTTATGGTAGGGCTAAAAATGTGAAGCAACAATAAAATGGTCCGTGAAGAGACTTGGTAACTTGCCTTCATTTCTTTTAAACATTTTTTCTTGTCTCATTTCCCCTTCTTTGCAATTTACGGGAACAGTAGATTCTTGGGAAGATGTTAAGAATTGGTGTACAAACCAAAACAAAGGGGCGAGTTTTAAGCCGTTGGAGTTGGCCAAGTGGTGATGGAGGAGGCTAATGTGTTAGGGTAATGATAGATTCACAGTGTGATTCACTCCCATACAACAAACAAAAAAGGACACTTACAAAAAAAAGGGTAACTAAACACGAAAAAAATAGGGAAATAGCGGTATATACCCCCAATTTTATAATCTCAATTAAAAATACCACTGCTTCCCAATTTTTTTAGAACTAACACCTATAAATATAAAATTATTGTCCACTTATTGCTGAATTTTCACAAGTTCAGGAATTCCATTCGGAGCTATCTCATTTGCAATATGTGTTTTTTGAACCATTGGGAAAGCATGATGGAATGTAAGTGAGCTCCTGACTCGTGCTATGTTTTGTTTTTGGCATCTCATGTGCCAATCATAAAAATGGTATATTCTTGGTTCTGTTGTTCCTAACAATTTCTCATTTCCTTAGAATAATCATAGCAAGGTTAATATCATTTATTGTTGTGAGTGCATCTAGTGATAGACGTTGAGGACAGAAAGTGCATGTGAAGAAATTGTTTTGTTCAAATAAAAGAAACCTGCACAGAGTGATGTAAAAGATAATGTTTATTCTGAATAGCTGCTAGCAACCTTGAAGCTTTAGTGGATTGCCGACCTCGAAAAGGTAGTGTTGATGGTTATTTTCTTAAAATCAGCGGGATTATGTGAAATGGGTTATATTTTGATTGTTTGGGTTTGTGTTAAATTTGTTTTGGCTTTAATTGCTTTGGGTTAGGTTTTGTTGAATATTCATGCTCAGTCATCTGGGTTTGTACCAATTGCACTTAGATTGGTCTGGA